TTCGGGGACCCATTGATGAAGAAGAAGCGCGCTGAGCAAACTTTGATGCAGCGTGCTCAAGTCCCCGGTGAAACCTGCACAACGTACATTGAAGAGATCCTGAAATTGTGCAAGTCTGTAGACCCACGCATGAAAGAAGATGACAAGGTAGGGCATCTTCTCAAAGGGGTTGCTGAGGATGTCTACAATTTCCTCATCGGCAAGGACACCTTGGCGTCTGTAGCGCACGTAATACAACACTGCCGCACGTTTGAGACACTGAAGGCTAGGCGCATCACTCCCAAATTTGGTAGACTTGCCAACGTCACCACCGTTGCAAGTGTCGACGTCCCTCCAACATCCCCCTGTGATCTTGCCTCAATGATCAGGCAAATCGTACGCGAAGAACTTGGACGACGTGATGCTGTCAACCCGCCGAGAGCACCTGCTATCAACCCCTCCCCGCCATACGACGCAATGTGTGCTGCCGTTGATGCAACGCTATATGATGTGCCCCAATCAAGAGCACCAGAGCCCCCAACTGACAACTTACATCATCGCCGTGGTTTCCAGAACGCCTCTCGCCAACCACCTACAATGGATCGTCTTCGTGGGACGATCATGGGCACATGGCGCCTCGTGGAAGGTTTGGCGACGTGCGTGAGGCCCCTGTGTGCTATAACTGTGGTTTCCGTGGACATGTGGCTCGATTCTGTGGTCAAAGGCGTCGCCCCCAGCAACGCTACTACGAGGGACCATCACCTTCTTCTCGACAAAACCGCTGGCGCGGTGGTATGCGTTCAATGCGGGACGCGTACGTTGGGGACGGCTTTCAGCAAACGACCCACAGTGATGCACATGTAGGACGCAATTTCCACCGGAATTTACGCAACGACTCGCCTTCCTCCGTGCGAAGCTTGACGCCCCCCACAACACGCCGGTTCCGTTCCCCATCTCCTGGTCGACGCGTCACCTCCCCGCCTCCGGGAAACTAGGTGGTGCGGCCAATGGAGGTGAGGTCGCCGAACATTTGTCACTACATCCACCTATGCCTCAACCCGTTTTTATGACTCAAAATAGGGTCCCCGTGCTTATTGATGGACTTCCTACGATGGCTTTGATAGATACTGGAGCAGCTGTTTCAGTGATGAGTCTTAACTTCAAATTGCGGCTAGGACATAAATTGATGTTTCGCTGGGACAGTTGTGCATCATTTCGTGCAGTGAGCGGGGAGACATTGTGCCCGATCGGTGTGTGTGTTGTTAGTGTCACTTTGGGTGACAAGGTCTTCGAGGCTGAATTCGCCGTCCTGACCAGCTCCACCCATGACATCATCTTGGGCATCAATTTTCTACGCGAGTGCGGGGCTACTGTAGATTGCGGTGCTGGCGAGATTATGCTATCGGCATTTACTGACGATCCTAGGTGCTGTCAAGGATCTATCACCGTCATTGAGGATGTTGTCTTGCCACCCAACTCGATGAAGACCGTACGCGTTGACGCCTCTGCCTCGGACGCCGGAAAGTTTGATGTTCTTGTGGAGCCCATTCCTCTTAATTGTGCCAAGAAAAATGTGCTCATTCCACATTGTGTTCTGTCGATCAGTGATAGACGATCGGCCTTATGGGTGTCGAACTATTCAAATGAACCTGTTATGCTACCCGGCGGAATGCGACTCGCCCGCTTCGAACAAAATGCGACCAGTTTCATTGCATCTTTAAGTGACGAGAGAGTAGATCCTATTTGTGCAACGTACCATACAGAAGCCAACTTTCTGAGTATGGTAAACAAGTCGCTATCATCAGAAAAACGTCAAGCTTTGGTCGAAGTCCTTGCGAAGCACGCTACTATATTTGACTTTGCGCAGAAAGAAGAGCAAATAAGTGTACCCGAGTGGCGTACTCGCCATGGGATTGACACAGGATCCGCTCACCCTATCCGGCAGAAACCATACCGTGTCTCATCTGCGGAGCGCAAGGTCATTACTCAACAGGTAGAAGAGATGTTAAAGAAAAGGGTTATTCAAGAGTCGTGTGGCCCTTGGGCTGCCCCTGTGATTCTTGTCCGAAAGAAGGATGGTACATGGCGATTCTGCGTGGATTACAGACGGCTCAACTCTGTTACTAAAAAGGATGTCTACCCGCTTCCCAGGATTGATGATGTCATCGATTGTTTACATTCGGCATCGTACTTCTCATCCGTGGATTTGAGATCTGGTTATTGGCCAATCCCCATGCACCCGAATGACAAAGAGAAAACGGCCTTCATAACCCCAGATGGTCTATTTGAATTCAATGTAATGCCGTTTGGCTTATGCAACGCTCCAGCCACGTTTGAGCGCTTCATGGACTCTGTGCTACGTGGACTAAAGTGGGAAGTTTGTCTTTGCTACCTGGATGACATTATAATATTTGGCCGTACATTCGATGAACACAACCATCGTCTAGACATTGTTCTCACCTGCCTTGAGAGAGCTAAGCTCACCCTGAACTCTAAGAAGTGTCACTTTGGCAGCTGTGAGACTCTCGTTCTTGGTCACCTGGTGGACAAGCATGGCGTTCGACCCGACCCCCAGAAAGTCGCAGCAGTCAGCAGCTTCAAACAACCTCAGTCGGTACGAGAGTTGCGAAGCTTTTTGGGCCTATGCTCGTATTTCCGTCGCTTCGTGCCCAGGTTCGCCGACCTCGGTTACCCTTTGACGTCGCTACTCAACAAGAACGCACCTTTTCGGTGGTCAGCGGAATGCGAGTCGTTTTTCGCAACTCAAGTTTGCTCTTACGTCAGGGCCCGTACTTCGCCACTATGACCCATCTGCTGCCACAGAAGTTCATACCGACGCCAGTGGTGTAGGTATTGGCGCCGTCTTGGTCCAACGCCAAGGAGCTGCTGAACACGTCGTCGCCTATGCCAGTCGCTGTTTAAGTAAGCCGGAGCGAAACTATACTGTCACAGAGCAGGAATGTCTCGCGGTCATATTCTCCGTGCACAAGTTTCGCCCTTATATCTATGGACGCCGATTCTCGATTGTCACGAACCACCATTCTTTATGTTGGCTCACTGGACTACGGGACCCATCTAGTCGTCTTGCTCGTTGGGCATTACGATTACAAGAACACGACTTTGAAGTCTGCTACAAGAGCGGTCGTCGTCATGCCGACGCTGATTGCCTTTCACGACTTCCCCTTCCGACAACCGAGTGTGACGCTGACAACTTTGATGAATATTTGGCTGTAGTGGATACTTCGTTCCCCGACCTAAGAACTTTTCGAGCAGAGCAACGCAATGACAACAGTCTCGCTTCTTTCTTTATTTCCGGAACGAACGGTCAACGTGGTTTCGTCGTAAAGGATGGCGTTCTTTACAAAAAGAATTATTCCGGCGTAGGCCCTCGCCTACTTCTAGTTGTGCCTACAAGTCTTCGACAACACGTACTTAGAGCAATGCACGACGACCCAACATCTGGCCATATGGGTTTTTCTAGGACATTTTATCGCACGCAAGAACGCTTCTTCTGGCCAAAGATGCGTAAAAGTGTTACTGCATACGTTGCGAGCTGTGAGCAATGTCAACGCCACAAGCGTCCTACAACTCCGCCAGCCGGACTACTTCATCCCACAGCACCCCCGAGTTCACCATTTGACGTCGTAGGTGTCGACCTGCTCGGCCCTTTTCCGCGATTAATGAACGGCAACCGATGGATTATTGTGGGCGTTGACCACCTCACACGTTACGCCGAAACTGTGGTGATTCCTGCGGCAACGGCCACTCAAGTTTCACAGTTCATGCTGTCACACGTTATATTACACCATGGATCCCCCCGTGTCATCATCAGTGATCGCGGGCGGCAACCTAGTTTCACACTTCTCACCTAGTTTCACACTTCTCTTTGGTTCTCTTTAATTTTTGCTGTACCCACCGTTGTCTTGCAATTTATATTGGTGAACGCCTTTGTACGGCTGGCAGTATATGTGTTTTGAAAATGCGTGTGTATGTTGTTTTTTATTGCCATTGTTCTCCCAGTTCTTGTTCTTCTCCCAGTTTTTGTTGCTATGTTGCACCGCCATTGCTGCTCACTTGAATTCTATACCTACGCCCTCCGAATTTCTTTATTGTGTTTCGTTCATGTACCTTGAATTTCTTGTTATTCAAGCTTTCTGCATATCGGGAAACATTCGCGTATTACATTTGTTTGAGTGTCAGTGACTAGACACGCTTTGTCACGATGTTGTGTTATTTTCTGTGTATTACATGTTATTGATGACCGCCCTATTACTCTTTGAAGTTTGTACCCCCCTTACTCAATGCTCTCATTGAGCTTGTAAGGTATCATAAATAAATAAATAAATAAATAAATAAATAAATGAATAAATAAATGAATAAATAAATAAATAAATAAATAAATAAATAAATAAATAAATAAATAAACTACCCTCTATGTTTTCGCAGATTCATTGAGAATATATATACGGCAAACAGCTCTTTCAACTTATGAGTTAATTCTGTCACAATTGGCAGTGAAATTTCTTCGTGTCCTTTTTGTAGGACATCAGGGCCGAAAGGGCTAACTAGGCGAGATTCTGGATACGTTTAGTCCAGCAGCGACAATCTTTCCGCACACTTTCACTTTCGATTGAAGTTCTGATACGCTTGCGTGATTGCTCGGAAATGTGATGCATCCTATTATTTACATCTAGCAACCAACTTAAGTATCGTGACATCAGGATCTTCCTTGAGTAACGAAAATGACAGAAACGGGCCGTGTAGTCTGTGTACTTTTCTCTGTGTGCAGTACTTTCACGACCCTCTGTTTATCACGAACCGACACGAACTAGCCCAGCTTTTTACTTTACTGAGAAACAGGCCATCATCTTCATGGGGGAGTTTATATGAAGCCTAACGTGTCTTGCAATCTTGATTGTTTCGGCATTAGCGTGCGTCTTACGGTGCCTACTTAATTCGAAACGAATCTCGATTACGTTTGACTCATTCATAAATGTGCATTCTTCGCTCTTTTACCCCAGTGTACAGAATATATCTTCACGATGAGCGCGAAAAGATTTTTTCATCCGATCTACCTGCCGAGCAGAGTCATCCGCAGGAGATAGGGGCAGCGGTGGAAATGTGCAGCATCTTTTAGCGTGGTCGAAGAACACTACAAGTAAGTAGTTGCACTTCGTGTGAATTATACGATGAATGAGATGTAGAAGTGAGCTTATTCAGTTGATAAATATCAATACGCATTTTATGAAAGTGCCTGCCATGTAAACGACTTTTTGTCTTCCAAGTGTATATAAATGGTCTCACATCAAAGAGATTTTAATCCTACTGACAGTTTACAAATAGGCGGACATTTAATTAGATAATCCCTTAGTGGTCGTTGACAAAACTTGAGTTTCCTGTTTACAAACATTCTACAGGCACATTAGTAATGTTCTATGGACTATACTATTTCTATGGAAAACACGGCTACATGTTCATAAGAATAGCTTTTTTTCCTCATGCACAAGTTCATTCGTACTTTTGTTGTATTGTAGGATAAACGCATAGCACAGCAGATATATTTTCTTGCTTTTTTATATTTTATGTTAGGAAGATTTGAGACTGACTTTCGGGTACTGAAAAGTGAAATTACCATGAATGCAGCAACATGAACGATGTTAACCCATGACGCAAGAAGGTAAGCTTTCTTACTTTTAGTGTATAATAAGTTTTATGTTTCAAATGGGTAATGTGGTGTATCCTATGAGGCCGCTGTATACAACCTCGGTAAACTGTACTCGCCTCAAACTCAATGAAATCACGTTATTAAAGCCACTCACAGAAAGACACGGTTGTACGATTCCTTATGCACGTAATCAAAGTGCATTGCCCACTCCCTCACGCATACGCAGGTGGCGTCAATGCTCGGCACGTTAGAGCCATGCGAGAGGCGCCTTTGGTTCCGACATGGCTCTGGCTCTGGGTGCTGGCCTGGGGACCATGCTCGCGGGCCTGGAAGCGGGACGAGATGCCGTCTCACAGCAGGGTGCGAACCCTCGACTCACTCTACATTTCACCCCAGTTCACCGTCGCCCTCACCGTCGGCAGGGGCAAATTGCTGGCCGCCTGGTCTCGCAACAACTGCGGCCTCCAGCACACCAGCGATGGTGGCCTGGTCATCACCGGCCACCAATGCTACGACGTACCCACGGTCGACATGTCCTCGTGGTCCGTACCGGCGTCCGGCATTGCAATGTACCTCACGTCAGTCCGTTACTTATCGGAGAGAAGCTTCGCAGGCTATGGTCCCGTGCACCACGTGCATCGCCTGGAGATCTTGCAGAATAAGATCACCAACATTCGCCGCAGGTCGTTCGTGGGCTTCTCAAACGTCACTTTCCTCAGCCTGGCCGACAATCCGATCAAGTTTCTGTCCGGTGAAGCCTTCATCGGCCTCGACAGCCTCAAGGTACTGGTACTGTTCCGAACGTGGTTGCACGAGTTTTCGACAGTCGTCGCCGCGGTCAGTCCTCACGTGCTGCCTGGTCTCGAGATCTTGAATCTCGGTGGGACACAAATATGGCGCATCGAAGAGAACGATTTAGTTCCCATGGAGAACTCATCGCTCAAGCACCTCCAGATAAACCTGTGCGACATGCTGACCTTTATGCACCCTCACGCACTAAAGCCGCTTAAGAATTTGGAGGGCTTATACTTCAGGGACAATTTGAACATGCCGCTCGACAACATCATCGATGTCATCACCAACATTAGTCAACAAACTTTTCGAGTTATTGACGTGAGTCAGCCAGTTTCAAAGAATGCCACGTACACAATATTCGAAGCAGTGTCTCGAACAACGGCGGAAGTAGTGATTTTTATACGGCTGCAAGATGCCACGCTGACGAAAGACTTTTTCCCCTTCATGCCGCGGGTTAAGTGCATAGTTCTAGAGTCTGGAAAAATACGAGACCTCAAACCCAAGGCTGTAGCCAACATGCCGAATCTCGAAGAAATAAGTTTCGTCAGGAATCAGTTCCTAGGAATACCACCCGGAATTCTGGAACCAAGACTGAAGGTATTGGATCTCAGTGGCTATGACCGGGGTTTTATCCAACTCGACGTTCCGGACTACGTATTTGACAAAATGTCGAACCTTAGGGAGCTTTATATGCGTTACAAAGCATTGCCTTCTTTAACAGAATTTACATTCTGGGGCTTGGTAAGCTTAGAGAACTTGGACTTGAAGAAATGTTCAATAGATTCACTTCCAGAAGGAGTATTCAAGCACCTTACTAAGCTTAAGCACATTGATCTCAGTCGAAACCCAATATTTCGTCCCGGCTCCTCTGTTAACATGAGGGCGTTTCAAGGTATTAACTCCCTAAAGACTCTCATACTTTCGGATACAAAGCTAACAGACTTGTCCTCATCGTTATCCTTTGAAGATCTGCAAGGATTAGAGTACATCGACTTGTCTAACAACTCCATATCGGTGCTACCCGATGATTTATTCAAAAGCAGCTATAACCTCGAGCATCTCAACCTTCGTGAAAACTTAATAGAAAGTTGGAAGCCACAGAAGTCATCCATAAAGAGGCTTAAAAGTTTAGATTTATCGCTTAATAAAATCCGGTACTTCAATCGTGATGCTTTGCGAAGCTTCGACCAACTTCACATCCTGGACCTTTCAGAAAACGTATTTTCGTGTACTTGTGCTATCCGTCCCTTCCTGGAATGGCTGAGGGGTACCAACGTCACCGTGCGCTACCTACCGTACACAACGCTGTACACGTGCAGTGATCCCTTAGAGATGGATGGTAAAGCTATCCTCACAGTCGACTCTCTCCTGCAACGAACATGCAAGCCAACGCTCATTGTCAGTATCATGTGTGTAGGCATTGTTATTCTAGTCATCATAAGCTTGCTCGTAGCTGGCTACATTTATAGGCGTCGCTACGACCGCTGGCTTCGGTCTCAGTCCATGGCGTCTTCTGTGGCCAGCAAGGTGTACCTGTACGACGCATTCGTGTCCTACAGCAATAGCGACACCCAGTGGGTCATCAGCAGGCTGCTGCCCCAGCTGGAGTGCAGTACTATAGGAAACCTCAAGTTATGCGTCTACGACCGTGATTTCGTCGCTGGACGCAACATTAGCGAATGTATCCTAGAGAGCATCAAGCAAAGCAGAAAAATTATTCTGGTGCTTTCGAACAGCTTCCTCCAGAGCCCCTGGTGCAAGTTCGAAACAGATCTTGCTCAGTACACGCTTCTTGAAGAGAACCGCGATGCCTTCATTCTGCTCAAAATCTCTCGTCTCGACGAAACGCTCCTGTCGCCAAAGCTGAACTACCTCCTTAAGACGCGTATTCACCTGAGCTGGTCTCAGTCACCCAAGGAGGAAGTGGTCTTCTTCAGCAAGCTCCACACGGCTCTCACAGACGACAAAATTCGGCCTTTTTGTGATCAGAGAGCGCCGGCTGCAGCACCAAAGTTACTGTTCTTCAAGAAGGTCAGGAGGAAAGCTAACCTCGTCTAGTTCAGGCACGCAATCTTCCCAAAACGATGTGTTCAGGGCTCTGCGCTAGGAAAATGTGCCATGTGTGCTGTACACGTACTCATGCGAGCGGCTTAGGCGTCAAATAAAATTTGGTGCTTATTTCCGATCCACTTTCCCCCCATCTCTCAGAGTTCCAAGCAAATCATTGACCCATAGAGTTTCATACAAAAACACGAAGCTCAATTCATTGCCCTAACAAACAAATCGGATAAAATTGTTGTGATTTTCGGTAAGGAATCAGGTTCAGTACTACCAACAGTTAGCCTTTCGAACAGATAAATGATGAGCTGATGATCCCAATAAAAAAGCACAATAGATTGCAATCATATGCAAATCAAAGACATGGCATTAACGCTTGTGGTACACTAATGACCAATTAGCGAATTCCATTACGTGACAATGTGCTGAGTAGAAGCTCGAAACGTGATCGCAACCTTCATCAGCCATGGAAACCAGCACGCCAAAGGTAAGCCTTATTCACGCGTGGTATTCTAGCTCAATCACTTTCTGGCATAATCAGATGTAAACCGCATCAGCACGTAGTGGCGCTCACCACAATTACTGCGAGCGGAAATGACTATGCTTGGCGCAGGCTTGTAATCGGATAATTGTTAAACGTAATGGCATCGTTGCGTGTGTTTAGAAAAAGAGGGTAACGATTTAGAGTACTCAGTACCCTACTATGGGACAGCTGAAAGCCATCCCGTGGACCGATGACGTTATGAAACTGACGAGAATGATGGCATCGTTGCACAAAAAAAGACTTCTGTTAGGTTTCTGTCACGTTATTCAGCAGCCCGGCCAAAGTTTAAGCACTTGCTGAACACCCCAGCCATATTGAACTGGTGGTGGCGTTCATTCTTGTGATCATTTTCGATGAAAAAGCCAATAATACACATATCTGAGTCACCACATCAATACGTAAGTATTATTTGGCGCATTCCTTTACTAAAAATACATTAATACGTAATTCTAGAGACCCAAATGTTTCTTACGCTGCTCTGAAATGCACAAAAAGCCCTCTCACGATTATATGGTGCTGCCACTCGGCAATACGAAAATGGTACAAGAACAGCATCTCAGGCGGCCGCAGATGAGACCAGGAATCATGTACTACGGCCTGCAGATGACATTTGCAGCTGAGGACGCAGATACGCGGCCAGTTTTTAACGCCGTGGCACTGGAGGAAACGTGTCACGGACGCTCTAGGCGCTGTTGCGCGGCCGTTGAATGTTTTTTTTTTTTTTTAATGTGAAGCACTTTTTAGCGAACTTCGGCGACTTTGAGCGTATCTATCTATATAGCCGCCTACGACTTTCAGCTCTCCTGGCCGTTTTAATAAAAGTATCAATAACAAAATTGGTATGGCATAACATGACTGTATTAAGAACACATTTGACTAGTCATAACATGTCATGAGTGTCATAATTTACATTTCATGGTCCTGCCACTCTTGCGGTGGTTTCGTTCACATGGCATGTTGCAAAACTGGTATGGTATGACATGATTGCATGGCGAACACAAGCGAAAGACTAACATGAAAATCATGAGATGTGTGTCATGTCACAACATGACTACATGTCACGTTCATGGTGCGCTCTAGGCCGTTTCGCTAGCGTCACATATACCAAATTTGGTATTACGGTACGTAAATGCATGACGAAGGTATGTGACTGGTGCAAACATGATCATCATGAGGTGCGTATCATGTAACAACATCACTACATGTCACGCTCATGATGCCCTGGCGGCCGCTTCGCTAGTTTCACATCTACCAAATTCGGCAGAACGGGACGTGAGTGGATGACGAATGTATGATACCGGTGCAAACATGATAAACATGAGATGCGTGTCATGTAACTTGACTACATGCTACGCTCATGATGCGCTCGCGGCCGTTTCTCTGGCTTCACATGTACAAACTCAGTATTACGTCACGCGAGTGGACGGCATAGGTGAATGACACATCCAAACATAATCACGACAAGCGTGTCATGTAGCAACCTGACCATATGCCACACTCACGATGCACTTACGGCCGTTTCGCTAGCTTCACATATGCCAAATTTGGTATCACATGACGTCAATGGATGACGAAGGTATGTGGCTGGTGCAAACACCATAATTATGAGATGCGTGTCATGTGAGAATAACCCCCGTACTCTAGAACGTCCCTTCACTCAATGCTTTACCTTCACTTGAGAAAGCCTATGGGAGCGCCGTCTCTAGGCACTGTAACTGACTGCGTATCAGCGATAATCTGCTGCGATTCTTGAGTAGCTCAGCGTCATTTTCAGCCGAGTGGTGGCGCAGTGCTCAACTCTGTCAAGTGAATGGTGGAAGTCGAGTCGAGGAGCGTTCGTGAATACGGGGGTATGACTACATGTTATGGTCAAGGCGCCAATACATTTCGACGTGACGCGTTGCGCGTGCTCACCGGCGTTCACTTCGTCGCGTCACGCCAACGTTGCGACGCCAGGCGCCGGTGGTGGTGGTGGTGAAAACATTTAATAACCAATAAATGGTTACAGAGAGGTGATTGGGTTGGGGCCTTATTGGCCTCCTACCCTCACAGCACTAGGTGGAACCCCTATTCCGGGGCTCCATTGGCAAGCAACGCCGCCCGCGCACGTTGAACCAGAGCCTCTTGGGCCTTCAGGTCTTGACAGCCGAGCAGGGCCGCCTCCCAGTCCTCTCTCGTGGGATTGGGGTTGGGGGGGATAGATGGATTAGACTGGCACGCCCAGACGATGTGAAAGGTGTCAGCCACCTCACCACAGAACTGGCACGTGCCATCAAAGGATGAATTGAAATGTTTTAGCACCGCCGGGCACAGTACAGTATTGGTAAACAGTTTTAAAAGGAGGCGCTCGTCAGCGCGATGCAGTCCCTTACAAGGGTCTGGATAGCGCCGGTGCTCCTCCTTGTAGTAATTGGTAATATCTTTGAATGAAAGGGCCGAATTGTCTGATTGCGAGTAGGCTTCCAAAGACAGGGAGATAGCCCGGGAAGAGAGTGCGCGGGCGGCCTGATCGGCCTGTTCGTTACCCCTGAGTCCTTGGTGACCGGGTGCCCAAACCAGATTTCGCGGAGTTGGATTAACGTATCGGCAGCTAGGTTCCAGTATGCGCTGAGCAAGCGGTGAAGCCCACCCTAGCTGATAGTTCCGACAGGCCCCTCGTGAGTCGGTGATGATATGTTTAGAAGAGGGATAGGTGAGAGCCAGAGCGATGGCAACCTCCTCCGCGTGTGTTGCGCTGTAGGCTTTGAAAGTGAGCCCGTTTACGGTGTTTGCGTTGTGTATGACTGCGGCAGTATACCACCCCCCATGGTGCGGGCTGGCAACGTCCACGTAGCACACGTGTTCCTCTTGACCAAAGTGTCGCTGCAACGCTTCCGCGCGCGCCTGGCGGCGACCACTGTGGTTTTCTTTGGACATGTTGCGGGGAAGGGGTCGGACCCGGAGGGCGCGTCTCCAAGGTTCTGGCACTCTCACCCTTTCCTCAATATAGTAATCGTGTTTGATGTGTATTCGGTCCAAGAGGCGGCGACCGGAATGGGTCTGTGCAAGGCGCGTGTATTGGTTAACGAGGTGGGCTTCTCGAAGTTCCCGGTAGGTATTCACCACGCCTAGGGCCAGAAGTCTCTGGTTGGACGTGGTGATAGGGAGGTCGAGAGCCCGCTTGATAACTTTACGGTGGATGACCTCGAGTTGATCATCCTCGTGTTTGCGTAGGTGCAAGTAGGGAGTCGAGTAGAGTATTCTACTCGTTACGAAAGCATGGGCAAGCCGCATTGCATCCCTGCTTCGTAATCCGCCCCGCTTGTTGGAGACCCGGCGGACCATACGGCCCACCTGGTCTCCCACCGTGCGAAGTTTGGCTATTGTGGTGTCGGCCTTGCGTTGGTGGTGTATGAAGAGGCCAAGGACGCGGATCTCCTTGGCCTCACGGATCGGTCCCGAGGGAAGACTGATATGGAGCTGAGTTGTGTCCTGAGGGGAGGGACGTACGTGCACAAATTCTGACTTAGCCGGGGCACACTGGAGTCCGCAGTAGGTTGCGTAGTCGTCGACTACAGTCGCTGCTGCTTGCAGGCATGACTCCATGTGACCCAGGTTACCTTGCGTGGCCCAGATCGTGATATCATCCGCGTAAAGAGCGTGATGTATCCCTGGTAAAGAAGCCAATTTGGGGGGAAGATGAAGCATGGCTATATTAAATAGGAGGGAAGAGAGGACCGCGCCTTGAGGAGTTCCCCTCGAGCCGATGACGTAAGGCCCATGTTCCTCATCTTGTATGCGTATGTAGGCTCGACGGTCTGTAAGAAACTGTCTAACATAATTGAATGTTTTATAACCACAGTTGGTCTGACTGAGGTGGTCAAGGATTACCTCATGCTTCACGTTGTCGAATGCTCCTTTAAGATCCAAGGCCAGGACTACCTTGTCATTGTGGGGGCATTCAACAGGATCTAATATGTCATGGTGGAGCTGTAGAAGTATATCCTGGGCTGACTTCTGAGGGCGGAATCCAAACATGGTGTCCGCAAAAGTGTGCTGTGTTTCTAGAAACTCGGAGAGTCTGTCGCGCACCATCGTTTCCATCAGCTTGCCGACACAAGACGTGAGGGAGATGGGGCGAAGGTTCTTTACGTCAATAGGTTTACCTGCCTTCGGGATGAAGGTCACGAGAGCTGATTTCCATTCAAGAGGGAGAGGAGTTTCTCCGTCCCAAATGCTATTGATGTATTTGAGGAGCGTGGCGTAGGCTGCGTCGGGAAGATTGGCCAACAGTTTGACCGTAACCTGGTCACGCCCTGGTGCAGTGCCACGCTTCATCTTGCGTAAGGCCGCCTGGAGGTCGTGGAGCTGGAACGGGGTGTCCAACTGCGTGTTTTTTTTGCCTGCGTAGGAGTATGCGGCCGTCCGGGGGTCCTTGGTGGTGCACAGGTATCGGTCCCTGAGCGTGTTTGCCAGCTGTGTTGTCGTTCCTGTAAAGTTGTGCATGGCCTTATGTAAGTGACGTTGAGTTTCCGTGCGTGTTTGTGTTGGATCGATGAGAGCGCGAAACAGGCGCCACGTGTTGCGACCAGACATCTGGCGTGCAGC